AAGATCCATTTCCTTCATTTTCCATGGTCAATATGGTGGACATAGACTCTAACAAGCAGTAAGCTAGGAAAAACAATGATAGACAAGGCAGACAAAGAAATAAATAGCTTGAACATTTAGACCAAGAGAGAGGCAAAACAAGAAAACACAAGGCTAATATAGGATTTCTTAGGAGAACCTACGAGTAAGTTCGAGTTCACTAATTAGCACAAAATAAAAAAGGGCAAGAACTAACCTTTGAGATGGGACATTAGTTCAAGGGGAGAATATATGAAGAGCTCAGAAGGGTTTAAGGTGGTTTGGAATCATTGGTTTAGGGGGAGAACATATGAAGAGCTTAGAAGGTCTAAAGTAGTTTAGGACTATTTAGGGGAACCATCTGGTAAGTTTGATTATTTCATGAAATACTCAGCACCGCCAGGAGTAAGGAAACCATTCACAAGGACACCTTGTGGTGGGATGTAGGCTCTGACAGACTACCTTTAACCATATCATAGGATACTACAGAGCTCCCTTTAATACTAAAGGTCATAAAAAGCTTAAGTAGGTTTGTTACTCTACCTAGTAACGTACCGTCCCTATAATAGAGAGTGTTAAGGCATAAAAATTCTCAGGTGTCTTAACAAGAACCCAAGAATGATGCCTTTAGCACAAAAAGGCTACACAGTGGTACATCTTATAATAAAAGTCTGAGGCCTAAGAAAGTACCAACGGACAGGTTCTAAATAAGTTTAGAAGAAAATCAACAAAAGACTAAGACAAGGAAAATGAGAATGAAAGCCAACATAATAAGAGCATTCATATCAGAGAAATACCTCTAAATGTTTATTGTATGATTTCATTAATACTCCCCTCTTAATTCAACTCTACAAATAATAGGACCCTAGATCAATTTGATAAAACAACCTAAGGGCAATACAAACAAGCTTATATCAATATTGTCCAATGGAACCTAGGGTGGATGAAGATCCTAAACTAGCAAAGATGCAGATGTTAGCAAAGAAAGCTAAAGTAGAGCCCATATGTAGGGTCACTTTATAGGCTATAAAAGGAAAGATGAAATAAGGTATTTTAGAAAAGCCTAGCCTTAAAATGACTCAGCATTTAAAGCCCTTATATATTAAGGCATATTTCGATGGGAGGCCTATGACTAAGGTATTACTAGATAATGGCTCAATAGTAAATATACCGCCAGCTCATGTAATACTCAAATGGGAAGGGAGGAACGAGATCTGATGCCAACAAAGGTATCCATGGTGGCATTCACTAGGACTGCCTTGAAAATTCTTGAGGTAATACCATTACAAGTTGATGTTAAGACTAAATCCTCTCTCATGGCCTTCTTCGTGATTAGTATAACAGCATAATACTAGGCTAGATACATGCAAATGAATGTGTCCCTTCCTCCCTCTACTAAATGCTTCTTATGTGAAAAGGAGAAGAAGTAGAAGTGGTCTGAGCCAAAGACAAACTTTTCATGACAGTCATGGACTATGTTGATACTAGGTACTATAATGTTGATATAAGTCCTTTTACATTTCAAAAGGTAAATCAACAAAGGGCCCTAAGCAGAGTTCCTCCATATAACTCAGCAATATACGCTATCATACATCTAACACCATAAAGGTGTGAGCCCATCATAAAACTGATGGATGACTAAATCAGAACATAAAAAGGCCATAGCAGCTACAGCCATTCAAAAACTATGATTGCAAATTATGTAAGAGCGATTGGAAGACTACGAGCCTGAAACTCTTAGGGCCAAAGTCATTTATGAAGTTGAAACCTAGGGAATAATGCAATTGCACAAGTTAGACCCTGCATCTTTGAAATTTAAAGACTTAGCCCTAGAGGTATAGGACCCACTAGAAAAAGTAAAACTCAAATTCCTAGAGGAACCTAGGGTCACTTTTATTAGCTCATTATTGGATTAGGAACAAAAGAATGCCTTTAAATAGGTACTACAAGAATTTAAGGATTGCTTCACATGGGACTATAATAAAATACTAGAGTTAGAAAGACAACTGGTTAAACACAAGTTCCTTATAAAGCCAAACTACAGACCACATCAATAGCCCACTCAAAGGATGTGAGTTGAGGTAGAGTTATGGGTAAAGGAGGAGATCAAACGCCTCCTACGAGTTGGCTTTATACAGCATTGCAAGTATGCTCAGTCACCCTCGAACATCATCCTAGTAATTAAGAAAAATGGAAAACTATGAATCTATGTAGATTTTCAAAACATAAATATAGCCACACTTAAAGATGTGTATGTAATGCCCATTGCAAACAAGTTAATAGACGTTGGGGCCGGGAATGCATTATTATCGTTTATGGACTACTTTTCAAGGTATAATCAAATATTTATTAGGGAAGACATTCACAAAATTGCTTTTAGGCATCTGGGCTCCATTGGAACATTCAAATGGGTGGTCATGCCATTCAGACTGAAAAATGTTGAGGCTACTTATCAATAGGTTATGAATGCCAACTTTCATGATATGATAGGAAAACATCTAGAAGTATACATAGATGATATAATGGTTAAGTTAAAAAAAGCACAAGATCATATTGAGCATTTAAGGACAAGCTTCCTTTGAATGAGGAAAGTAAGCCTTAAATTAAATCTACTTACATATGCATTTGGTGTGACTGCAGGTAATTTCCTTAGATTCCTGGTCCACAAAAGAGGGATTGAGTAGACCCAAAAAAAGCACTAAGTAATAAAAAAGAACAACAAAGATTCCTAGGCCAAGTTAATTATGTCAGGCATTTCATTCTAAATCTAGCAGGAAAAATGAAGGAGTTCTCTGAGCTTTTGAAATTTAAGGATGCCGAAGAATTCACCTAGACTAAACACCATTAGGAGACCTTAGACAAAATTAAAGAACACTTAACAAAGGCCCTGATCTTAGCAACTTTAAGGGAGAATACACCATTTATATTGTATTTAGCTTCTGTTGCCACATCCATAGGATGTATGTTAGCCCAAACTGTTGATAAGGGACGTCAGCAAGTGGTTTATTATTTAAGTAGTTGTTTAACTCTTATAGAGACTAGATACTCACCTATGGAAATAACAGGTCTAGCACTATACGATGCTTGTACCAAATTAAGACACTATATAATAAATGCAGTAGTGTATGTGGTTTCACATTCTAATTTAATTAAATACATGCTTAATTGGTCAATCATGATAGGCCATATATAAAAATTGAGCTTAGCCCTGAAAAAATTTTCATTAGTATTTCTGTCTTAAAAGTTATTAAATAGCTAAGCATTAGTAAATTTCTTGGCTGATCATCCCTTAATCAAGCTTCCTGAAGATGAAAAAGAACTACCTGTGTTCTTAGTAAATCCAAGATCCTAGGTACTTCAGTTCGATAGGTCTAGTATAGAACAAGCATCCAGGGCTGGAGTAGTAATAACATCCCTTATAAACATAAAAATTATACCATGTCTTCAACTAGACTTTGAATATACTAATAACCAGCCTGAGTACAAAGCACTACTCAGAGAGTTTGAAATCCTTAAGAAATTGAAAGCCTATAAGGTAGTAATAGAAGGAGACTCTCAATTGGTCATCAAGCAATTCACTAGTGAATACAAGTGCACGAGTCTGGCTCTAATGATGTATTACACATAGTCCTTTCAAATGTTGGAAGATTTTAAGGAAGTAATATTGACACATATTCCCCGAGCTCAGAATTGGGAGGCCAATGAACTAGCACCAAATAGCATCAGAGCTAAGGCTTTTGCCTAAACTTACTAAAAAAATAATTGTGGTATAAAGGAAAGAGCATCCTTCAATATCTCAGTAAGGTTTGATGGTACAATATGGTACAGTCTCATAAGAATTAGCTCAAGATTGGCAATGTGATTTTAAAAGTTATTTGTAAAATCCTAGCTAACGTTACCCTTCTAGAATGAGAATATACGCTCAAAACTTCATTTTAATTGGAGAAGAGTTGTATAGAAAAGGCTCGATGTGTTATTACTTAAATATTTAGATTTACTAAGGACATAGAGGTTTTAAGATAGGTACATGAAGGAGTATGCGGTGCCCATCAATTAGGGCCAAAAATGCAATAGATGGTTCACAAATACAGATGTTACTTGCCCTCAATGACGAAAGATTGCATTGAATATGCTAAAAGGTGTAGGAAATGCCAGACTCACAGACCAGCTCAAAGAATACCAATATCAGACATGAATTCCATCATTAAACTATGGCCCTTTAGAGGATGGGCCATATATATAATAGGGAAGATCATTCAACCTCATCTAAAGGCTATTCTTTTATCTTAGTAGCCATAGACCATTTCATAAAATGGATAAAGGTCGTCCCCTTATTATAAGTAGCTAATAGCTTAGGAAGATCCTTGGAAGAATATAATGAAGCCATGATGAACAAATTAATTTAGTTAGATGAGATACATTTACAAGCATTAGATCACATGATCACCCAAAAGAAAGAAATTTCAAAGATATACAATAAAAGCATAAAAAAGAAGCAGTTTTAGATGGATAAACTTGTATGGAAACTTATTTTACCACCTGGGGCTAAGAATCAGATGTTTGCTAAATTTTTACCTAGTTAGGAAGGAACATTCAAAATTGGTGAAGTACTTAAAGGAAATCTGTATTGGTTATCTAGTCTTAATAGGATTTCACACAGACAAGCTATGAATAGAAAATACTTAAAGAAATATTAGCTGTCACCATGGCAACAAACAAAGGGAAACAAATCTACACAACAACCCTAAGCTTAGAGTGGCTTCAGGATCACACAGACCAAGTAGAAACCTTGAGAAAAAAAATCAAAGTATACTTTTATTTATAGAAATATGATACAAGGGACAACAGAAGTTATTATGTACCATAAGATGGATGGTGTCCCACGAGTCCACCGCTATATCCAACTTAGTGGTTAGTGACCGATATGGACTAAGAGTCATATCCAATTCAATCACCAAATGAAGCTTTTTCTCATATACGACCTATGCCTCATCCAAAACCTTAGTAGCGGCCTCTAGGTCAGACTTTGCATTACCCTCTTCAGCCCATGCCAGCTCCTCCTTAACAGCTTCCAGTTGTCATCTTAAATCAGCCACCTTAGTTCATAACGAATTAAGGTAGGCTATAAATTAAGGTAGGCCATACGTGGGGTAATCTCCTTGACTTGATCGTTGGTAGCAGTCACCTGGGCCATGGCATCACTATATTCATCCCTAATAGACCAACTCTTAATGAGATGATCCGAAAGGGATGAAAACTCCATACAACAACAATTTATGGTGCCATAATACTCTAGGACTTGGACACAAAGGAACTCTAGCTCGAGCAAGAGAGTGACTCTCTCCACAACATCTATGATCCGAATCAACTCTTCATAGCCTTGCTCAGAAAGCAGTAGGGGATTCCAACTAAGTTAGAACAGAATGACCTTCTAAGCATCCAAGACCACTTCCGTATTAGGAATACAAAGATGGGCTAAAAGGTTGTCAATGGGGGTTGCCATCATTGAAATAATGGTGTTGGTTGAAAGAAAGTTAAATAATTTATTGAGAATAAAATTCAAATAAAAATACCATACATTTTTAAAAGAAAAAGTATTTAAGTATTGTATTTCCTCAAAGTTTGTCATGTTTAGTGTCTAGTGTTCAAATGTTGTTCTGTGATACACATATACACACAGAGTAATTTTAAAAATAGGAAAATTATTGATAAAGTAGTTGTAAATAATAATTATTAAACTTTTTAATAATGCATTATCAATTTAACTATTAAATATGTAAAATTAATGTTATAAAAAGTTGAAGTAATAATTGTAAATTATTAATGAAGTAGTTGTAAATTATTTGATTGATGTAATGCATTTTTAATAGGGGAATTATTGTCTTTTAACCTCAATTTTAAATTATACTGAGGTCCCAAAGAACATGGCTATAGTTTTTGAATTTTATGGAACTTATTTGCAAATAATTTTGCTCCATAGAACTTATACATAATATTTACTTAAAAATATGCATTAAATATATTAATTATATTAGTATAATTTATTCTTATATCAATTATATTAATAATAAATTTTATTAATTATAATTTCAATATTTGCAATTCCTATTCAAATTAAAAGTTATTAATATTGATAATTTTAATGACACAAAGCAAATAATATAAGATAATCTCTTTTTTTACAATATATTAATTATGTTAGAACAATTTATTATTATATCTATCTATTTAATAATTTTTATTTATATTGTATTTCTTATTATATTTTTGAAAGAGTAAATAGCTTCAAATATCTTAATTAAAGAAGAACAATATTGACTTAATGTTCTACTTGACTTGTCCGTTATTGTTACTTTTATAGCCGAGAGGTCACTTATAATTTCTATTATAATGTATTATGTCTTTTGTATACTTGACTTTAAATTGTACATTTATAGTTGTGATTAATATAACTTAATAATTAACTTTAAATCATTGTGATTTATATACTTGTATTGTTTTAATTTTAAATTTGACAAGTTATGTGATTTAATATTTTAATGAATATTATTATCTAAATCTTTTTCCTGTATTGTTTACTTTATTGGGACATCCTAATCCTATCTCAATTCATAATAGGATTAAAAGACATTTAGGATGTGATGAGATGCGAGATAAAAGTTTATAATTTATAATTTTTCTTGATTGTCGTTGATAAGGATACACATCATCCGCTCCTAATTTCATGGCCATTGGACTGGCATGGGGTCTCTCCATTTCCCCCACTTCATTTCTCCTCCATTTCCTTAAAACTACACTTTTTTTTTCCTTACTAAAAAGATACCCAAAAAAATAGAAAGCAACAAAAATGAAATTATCGTTATCCGATCTGACCCTGCACAGTTTGTATGTATATTAAAAATTATGAAAAATTTAATAATATGTTTTATTATTAATTTAGTAGTCCATATTTAATATATATGGTCCAAATTTAATATTAAAATTTTATTTATAATTTTTATAAATTAATTATCCAGATATATTTTGGACAGTGCAGGTTCAATAATAAAATTATAAAAATTTTTAATATTAAATTTATACTACTAATATTAAATTTGAATTGTTCATATTGATAATTAAATTTAATATTTTTTAATTTTTATAAAATTAACTATCTAGATATAATCTGAATAACACAGATAAAGTTTTCAATATTAAATTTAAACTATCCATATTAAATTTGAATTGTCCAAATTGATGATTAGATTTAATAAAAAAATTTATATTTTTTATTTTAATACATATAAAATTAAAATTAAAATATTTAATTTGGATTGTGTGCAAGGGAGGGAGGGTGGAAGGAGATAAGCTTGGTCTTTTATTTTCATTTTTTGTTGCTTTCTATTTTTTTGATACTTTTTTAACAAATAAAACAGTACAGGTTTAAGGAAATGAAGGAAAAATGGAGAGGGAAAAAATTGAGATAGGAGAGAAGTCTTTTCATTTTTTTTTTCCTTCATTTTCCTCAGCTTCTTCCATCCTCACCATTCAAATTATTTTATTAAATAATTTTTTTAAATAATAAAATTAATAAATAATGGGGATAGGAGAAGTGGAGGAAAATAGATAGTAAAAAAGTGGAGACACTCCCTGGAGACACTCTACCCCCTTATTGAACATACCATCACCATTGATTCTTGCTACTTTCCGCTGCTAACAATAGCAATAATTTTCTAAGTCTTATTTCTTTTTCTCTTTGACTTCTTTCACTTTCTTTCATTCATGCTTTCTTGTCTAGGAGAATTACAAACGTGTCCTACACAAGGGTGAAGAGAGAGGAACCGATAAGAGCCACAACCCCCTTAACTTTTAATTTTTTTTAATAAAATATATAAATTATATATTTTCAGCTCTTCTAAGTTAATACATTATAGAAGTTATAAAATATTAGATGAAATTCTTAGTTTAATTCTATATGTAATCTTTTATACATGTATAAAGCAATTATTTCAATAGCTTGAAAATATAGTTATTATAGGATCTACTCATTTTTAACAAGATAATGCTATATATGCTCTTAAAGTATTGATATCATTTTCATTTTGCTTTCGTTTTATATTTAATGAAAGAAATTGTGAGAATTATTATTAACAAACTTTGTTAAGCATTGCAAGAAAAATTTTAAGATATATTAAATACTATGTGCTTAATATCTATCATAAAATCACTTATTTAAAAGTCAAGAGATTTGATAAAGATGTTTTTCTAAAAAAAATTACTTTTTTTAAAATAATCAAGCTATTGGAATTTATTATATGAATGATTTTTATTTTGATATAATTTGATCTTATTGACATAAATATTTTATGACAATTGTACATTATTAATATGTTGATATATTTATTTACTACAATTATCAATTAAAAAATTAAATAGTAAATTTAATAAGCAAGTAATATAGCTTATTACATTAAATAGAACTTTATGTTTTAATGATGCATTTAAATCATTTAATGCTCACAAGGATGATAAAATTTTTATCAAATCAATAATAATTCATTTTGAGAAGGAAATTATTAAAATATTTATCATAGATATAATAACTAATGATTTTTATACCATAAAAATTAATGAGCAAAACTTAACATATATATATATATATTGTTATACATGTGTAAAATTAAATATAAATATATGTTGAAATATTTATATTATGTCAGTGACATATATATCTATTTATTTAAATTTTATTTAATTATTATATTTATTTTATTATCTCAGTCCTTTAATAAAAATTCCTGACTCCATCCCTGTCTCTTCTCCCATCGATTAATTTCCCGCAATTCTGTCTTTTAGTTTTATATATATAGGGGAATGTATTTTTATCATCTACGACCAAAATTTCTTGAAGAAATGAATGGTTTTGAGTGTCAGTTTACAACCACGGCGTTCGAATTAATTTGAGTATTATCGAGTAGATTAAATAATAAAAAATGACTGGTTGAAATTTGAACCAGGATAAAATTCAGGGAGAATGAGAGTTAAATCCCAAAGGGACTAAATTCAAGTTAAATCTAAATTAATTTTGAAGTGCCAGCAAAGTCTATTGGTCATTTAGTGATAAATATCAAGTCTAACAGCTTCAAGAATTTGTAAATTTAATGCTTAATTTTATAATTTTATTATGATAAATAAGTAACTTGTTTTTCAAGTTTTAAAATAAACAAATTTATTGAGCCTTTTATTTTTTAACATTAAATATGAATCATTTGTGTTTCCTGTTAAAATTAAAAAATAAGTGGCAATTGCATTACAACAAAATTATAAAATTAAAAATCAAACTTGCAAATTTCTAGAACTGTTATATTTAATAGTTTTTCACATTAAATATGAACATTTATATTTCTTGTTAAATTTAAAAAAATAAATTACAAATGTATCACAAAAGAGTTGCAAATTTAAAAGCCAAACTTGTAATTCATAGTGTTGTTAGACTTAATAATTTTTAATATAAAAAATAAATATTTGTATTTACTGTTAAAATTTTAAAAAATAAATTATAAATATATTACAATAAAGTTGCAAATTTGTTGACAAAAAACTTGTAAATCCACGAAAGTATTAAAGTTAATAGTTTACTACCAAAAAACTAATAAACTCTGTTGAGCTCTAAAATTTACTGAGATTTAATTTAAATTAATCAATTCTCTTTAAATTTACTGTCATCCTCTCCCAAAAATTCAGATGTTCACACCAGGAGCCATCCTGATCACCACCATGGCACGAGAACGTATAAATTTAAGTGCTTGTCATTTTACGATGTGGTTATAAAATAGCGTGCAAGACCTTGACTTTCTAAGACACCGTTATTATTCACGTGCCCTTCCTTTGATTGGTTCCTCTTTTTGTCCAATAAATTTAAAAACTATAAAAAGTACTGCAACCAGTAATATTGAAAGGCTGGGCTAAGACTAAGAAGGGACAAATGGTCGTAATTAATTAATTCATTAATAACTGTGGGCGGTTCATGGCGCCATAACCCACGCATTTCCTATTACAATAAAATAATTCACACTATAGATACCCCTAAATTGTAGACTGCTCCGTTTTCAATGCTCTCTTGGTTCAAAAAATAGAGACATTTTTTAAAAGATTACTTGTTAAAAAAATATAAAGTATTTTTATTAGGGTTAATTAAAATATATTTTTATTTCTGAATTTTTTTATCAGTAATTTTATTTCTATATTAATAAATGAAATAATTTTACTTCCTAAATTATTTTTTTGAAAAGCATTAAGTACTTTGTAGAAGGGTTTGTTTCTCAAAAAATAGTTTAAGGATAAAATTATTCACTTATCATTAGAGGAGTAAAATTACTTTTTAAGAAAAAATTTAGAAATAAAAATATACCTTAAACCTTTTTAATATTTTAAAATATATTTAGTATAGTTTTTAAAGTATTTATGATAAATAAATCACTTTATATTTATTTTAAAGTAAAAAAATACAATATTAAATAAGTATAAATATGAAAAGATGATGTTAGTTTAAACATAATTAATTGCTTTATTAAAAATGAGATTTGGTTAAAAGTATTTTATATTTTTTAACAAATTGAGTGTAAGAGAAATTACCTTTTGTTTCTTTATTTTTTTATTAACAAAAATTAATCATTTGGTCTTTATAGTTTTGATTTAATTGTAACACGGTCTCTAAAATTTGGTTTCTTATAACTCAATTTTTGAAGTTTTGACTCGGTTATAAATTAATTTTTAAATTTTATCTCTTATAATTTAATCCCTAAAGTTTTAATATCTTAAATATTGGTCCCTATATTTTGAAAAATAAAATTATAAAGATTAAAAATATTTTAAAATTTTAATAATTTGTAATATTTATAAATATTAAAAGGGTTTAATATTTTTAAATATTAGTAACAAATTTTAAAATATTTTTAATCTTTATAATTTTATTTTTTAAAATATAGGGACTAATATTTAAGAGATTGAAACCTCAAGGACTAAATTACAAGAGGCAAAGTTTAGGGATTAATTTACAACAAAATCAAAACTTTAGAAACTAAGTTATAATAAGTTAAAGTTTAAGGATTGTATTACAACTAAGTTAAAGATCAAATGATTAATTTTTTTATTTTATTATAAGCAACACTACAATTTAAAAAAATATTAATTATATTTTTTCAAATTGTCCCTCACAATGAATTGTTTCATTAGATTTGAGAAAAAATAAACATTAATTACATTGGCATTTTAGTCTAAGCTTTTTCAATTTTAAATATCATTGTTATGATTAAATAATTTTTTAAATTATGTAAGTTGATTGAAATTATCCTATATTAAAAAACGAAAGAAGTATAAGATTTCATAAATAATAATTATTTTAATATTATTTTTTATTTTTTGACACTTTAAATATTTTTTTCTTAAAAAATAATATTATAAATTATATTTTATGAATTTTATTAATGTGTGTAGATATTTTTTTTTTTGAAAAAAGCAGCTTATAAACTGAGATGGGCATCAAAATTAAAAGTACCGTCTGCCAACAACTTTGTATAATAAAATGGGGCCAAATTGAAATAATACATAGATTCCACCCTCTCTTGTAACACAATATAAAACATTTTTTAAAAATCATGCTTGATTCAAGATATAAGGTACACGATAATTTTTATAATTATTTTTTAACTATATCCTTCATTTATTAATCTTTTTTTTTTAAATAATGTATCAGAATTTTAATTGTTATAATTAAAGCACTTATATAAAATATTTAATGAGGATAAAAACAATTTCACCTAATTTTTTTTTATAACTGTGAAGCAGTTTTCAATATCTTATGTTATAATTCAAAAAAAGTATATATTTATTTTATATTTTTCTTCACTTCGCAATATAATTAGAATGGAAGGGATCGGAGTGTTTAAAAAGTATTTTTTCCCCATTATATGGCTATGTATCCTAAGCCAGTTGAACTAAGCACTTTCGCTAGTAGTGCTTGAAAGTTTTTTTTTTTTTAGATAAAACATAATCATAAATCTCTATAATTTTATAAAGTTTTATTGAGTCTCTATAATTTTTTTAATATTTTCAGTCTTTATAGGGACCTAAAAACAAATGTTTATAGTCTTTTTGAAATTACAGAAACTGAAAATATTTAAAAAAACTACACTAAAAGCAAAACACAATAAAATTATAAGGATCGATAATTTTGTTCTCCTTTTTTTACCACACTTTATTATTTAAAGGACTCACATGGAATAGAGTAAAATTAAATGACTAAAATTTTATTCTTTGATCCTCCAGCACAATTTTGACACTATGGAAAGACTTACTAGCAATTTTCCCAAAATTGAATTTTTAATGGAAAGATGTAATTAACATAGATGCAAGAAAAATGTTGACTGGAGTTATATAGGTGTTAAATTCTAAATCATTTAAAAAAGTAATTTATATATAGGGTAAAATAGAAAATTGATCTCTAAACTAGAAGTTCAGAAGCGTCTAAGACTGTAAACTCATTTTTTATTTAATATTTCATTTCAACTTTTGAAAATGGTGAAATTTGATCTGTACTATTAAAAAAATAACTTTAACAATTAGTTTACCATAATTTTTATTAGTCATTTTCTGTAATTTTTGGATCCTCTATTTTAATTATTTATCATTTTTTATAATTTTTATATTCTTTTCTGTTATTTTTTTGCTAACTAATTATCAAAGTTAACTTTTGTTATGATAAAGGTTTAATTATATTATTTTTTAAAATTAAAGATAAACATTATACTAAAAATAAATATAAAATTACAGACGTTCATAAACTTATAATTTAGATATCAATCCGCTCTTTTACCTTCATGTGCGTGTATTTTATAGTGTGCGCGCGCACATTTGTATAGACATTTGACCCTGGAGATGAAAGTAAAGAAGACAATTAAAGACCATCAGATTTCAGCGTTCTCGGGTGTTGTCTTTTTGAGTTTAGATTGTGTTGCTCCGCGCATTGGACTAGTGGCTTCGGCCCAATAAATTATGTTATGACTTGTGTAGGCAACTTCACAATCACACAGAAAAGCTTTATCAATCACCAAGATATTGGTGAAAGTAGATTAGGACCTTCTCTTAAAATTATATTGGAGTGTGTTGTATATATGGTTGAACTTTGTTATGATTGGAGAGTTCTTAAAACTCTCATTTAATGACAAACTTTGAAGTATATCATTGTGCCTTTATGGATACAGAAAATTAAATTGCAACATCCATTCATAGGCTAATTGTGCTCTACATGATTCCATTTTTTATTTAAGGTTTAAAGGCTATTTTTTTCACTTAAATTTCTTTTTTAGAAGTGTTGGGCACTCTATACCGAAAGATGAGGTAATATCCCTCCAAAATAATTTTTTTCTAAAGCAAAATCGCCCTTCTATTAGAGTACTTATCATTTTCTCCATTATCCACTGACATGAAATAGTTGTGAGGCTCACGTACAACGACAACAATACATTCCGACCCATTTTGACCATTTGATGTGGGCTAAAGGGACTGAAAGTGTCATTGGCATTGGCAGGAACTAGGCCTGATTTTAGTATTGAACCAACAAAAAAAAAAGATAAAAATGCCTTGCCATCATTGTACGTGGGCTCCATAACTATTTAACATTAGTAGATAATGAAAAAGGTCATGGGTCTATAAAGAAAGCTTTTTGTCCTAAAAAATTTGTTTAGGGGAAAATGGTCTTTAATCCTTTATTTAATAAAACATTGTCCTTTGATAACTGCACAAGTTTAAATGAAGTTGAAAATACCATGCAGCATTGCTTTATTTCACAGTTGATTTTCATCCAAAAGATTTAAACGGATGCAATTATCACAGAACAATATTTGAACACAACATGACAAATTTTAAGGATACAAACACTCAAATGTATATACAAGCTTCATATGTATGCTACCTGATGATAGAAAATATGGTTTGAAGAAGGGTGAGTATGAGAATTATGATTCCAGCGAAAGAGGCCACAGTTTGCCAAGGGGTCTTGCAATAGCCACCTCTCAAAGTTGCCTTACCCGGTTCAAAGGATTTTGGCGGAATTGATTCAACCTTTTGAAGATGTCAATGTATTCAGAAATCATCCTTGGTTCAAAGACATTCTGTCCCATGATTCTAAAAAATGAAACAACCTCAGTATCAGGTTCGAAGCTGCGCATTATTTTCGTATCAATGAGAACATTTGCATCTTCCTTTGTGTTGATTAGGCATCCCCACATAGTAGCATAGTTAGAAATGTAAGTGGTAAGAGGACAATGGATCTGTTCAAAAGCAATCATGTTATGAAACAAAGTTCCAGTTAATGGTTCTGCTACCAAAATCTGTGGAAGCTCAAGAACATGCCCTGAAAACTTGATGTCTAACAAGCTCTTGCTCTTGCTAGTCTTGAACTTGACTCCAAATTCTTGCAACTGTTTTGCACCGTGTGAAAGAATGTCAACAGTCCAAAAATATGGTTCCATTTTTGGTGGTGCTCTTTGCAAGAACAAAAGCCTAAGCAAATCTGTGAAATGCTTTATGCTCCCGTTACAAGGATCCTGAGTTAGCTTCTGGAGATCAAATGCCTAAGCAAAGAACTCACAAGCGAGAACACAAAATGAAGGGAGGTCCTTGCTATGGATAAGGGGGGGAGAAAGCTTTATTGAATAGCTCTTCAATAACAAAGAATGGTAATTGATTCTCAAGTAAAGCCAAATCAACTTGTATGGTTCCATTTAATGTTGGGCTTGACAGCATAGCATCACCCAATAATCCTCCTCTAGTGAATGAGTAGAAAAATTCGATGATGAAAGTAGCATCCCTTAATATCAATTTCACGAGTTCGCTATCACTAAGGTTGATGTTCTCTAAGTAAGAAGCACGCACTTTTGGCACTAAACGTCTCACAGAACAAACCAAATCCTCCAAGCTTGTATTTGTTCTTTGTTTAAATCTTTTCAAGAAGAATTGTTTATGCCTTTCCATACCTTGAAGCCTCTCTTCACCATAATGAAAGGGACCAATTGAAATATATTTTGGGGCGTAAACTTTTGGTTTTATATCACGCAACGTGTGAGGCACCCTTGAGATACAAAAATCTGGATCCAAAAGACCATCCCCGCTTTGTTGAATAATTGCTTCAATGTCAACCATCACATCATCTTGGTCCATCTACAAAAGAGAGAACAAATAAATGATAGGCAGCACAAGGCCCAACTTAACTAAAATTAAAGCTTTAAAGTATGAGTCCTGTCACTTAGTATATATCATTCATTAGACTTAACTTTATTTAACGTGAAACTTTATCTTCACATCAACTTAATGACACAAGACCAGATTTGTAACTTTACAATCTTACAAAGTAATTAAATCTTTTTTATAACTAAAAACTAAATGAAACACTATATACAACAATTCGTTACCAAATAGACCATCTTCGCTATATTGAATCATTGCTTCAATGTCCACCAGTACATCATATTGTTCCATCTATCAAAGGGAGAGAACAAATAAACGGTAAGTAGTGAAATTGATGCTGCAACTTAACTAAAAGCTTTAGAGTTTAGGTTTATATGCCTTTTTACTTTATTATATATATTATTTACTAAGTTCAATTTTATCCAATATAAGACTCAGTTTTTTTTAAGTACTTAATAACTATAAATAAAGCAGTAGCAAAGAAATGACACTCCTAATAAGAGAAAACCAAAGGCAACATTTCATCATCCTCCAACTCAAGAGGCTACAGAGTTTGGAGGATAATCAAAGATTTCAAAATCAGAGCAAAGACTATGACCTTTCTTAGCAAGAAGGTCAGCAAAACAGTTAGAATCCCTACAGCCTAAATTAACTTATACAAGCCAATCTCTATGAATAAACAATTAACCTAGATTCACTTACAATTGAATATCCTAACAAAACAATAAACAATTACTTATATATACCAAATAAGTGGAATTAATGATACAAGCACGTACTTGTATAAGTTGAAATCTTACAAAGTAATTAAATCTTCTTTATAACTAAAACTAAATGAAAAGCTCAATACAATAATCTGTTACCAAAAGATTATCTCTCTGCTATATTGAATCAATGCTTCAATGTCAACCATCACATCACTTCCATCTATCAAATTTGTTTTAGAAAACAACAGTAATTATGTATGCAACAAAATAAGAGGAATTAATAAGAGGGATGTGAATCCTCTCCATGCTCTCTCTTAAGTTCCACAGGTACCATGTCACTAAGGTGGATGTCCTTTGAGCGAGAATCACGAACTTGTTGCACTGAAGATATGGTGACATAACTAACCAAATCACTCCAGCTTTTCTGAGATTCACCGGCAAATATTATAAATTAGATTTCTTCGTGCCTTTCCATATCTCGTAGTCTATTATCACTATAATGAATGAGGCCAATTGAAATAAAATTTAAGGAATAAGCGTTTACTATCGATCACGGATCATACAAAGTCACCTTATAGCTAGATACAGCATCTAGGTAACAAGACACCCCTTTGGTTTCGATGAATCATTGCTTCCATGTTTATGATCACATGATCTGCCAACTATATTTTGATTTAGAAGAGCAATCAGCAATTTTGTATAAGCAAAATAGGAGGAAAGAGGTGTTATATATATGTCAAAAGAGTGTGTATCAAAGTCCCACATTAACTAAAAGAAGGAATCTCCTAGTGTATATATACTAAGGAATGAAGTGGGCTAGTAAAATGGGCTTGGAGGATAAGTGGCCTCACGCACATGAGACAGGCCAACTTAGGGCAATCGCAGTTGAAATCAGCCGATTCGCCCCCCCTGCGCGCCAGTTCAAGAGGCACTAGGTTCCTTTTACCGGGTTATTTTTACAAAAATGATTAAATAAATAATTATTTTTAACTTACCCGAAAAACATTTGATTTTGCTGTTTTGAATTTAAACTTGAGGCTTTGGCAGTTTCTGGACATTAAACCTCTTCCGAAAATTGAATTTTGAAGGTTAATGTTTTGTTTGCCAAACGTCTCCAGATTAATGAGTGCTGAACGTTTTTGAATTAATGGACATGCACGTTTTGCTGTTTGAGGCGTTTGTAACTGAAGCGTTAAACACTAAACGTTCGTTGTTTAATGTGTGTATAACCAAACCATTAATCGGTAATTATAACCCAACGTTTGTGTCTCCTTCCTCGGCCAATATATACCCATGGGTGAAGACAGAACAAAGTGCAAGCCTCCACAGTTTTCGGGGCAACTCTCTCCTCCCTCAGACTTCTGTTCGTGTGTGTTTGCTTTAGTCTCTGTTATTCTGTTCCCTTTCTCTGTCGCAGGAAGTGCTTGTTTAATTCTGGGGAGCTACCGGCCCGTCGTCTAGGTGTGCCAGAATAGTTCTTAAGGACAGTGTCTTTCCGGGCACGACTCAAGCAATCAGAAGCTCGCTGTTCACGTCTGCCGCCGATGTCGCCTATATTCTTAAGAACTATTCAGCCCAATAGCGACCAACAGTGCTGAAAATGTCACTCCCGAAGGTGTGCCAAGTGGATCGGCTGCAGGTCAGTACGTCCCTGCCGCTGTTGCTGTCCCCCTACCGAGGCCGTTCTCGGACATATCGAAGATAGAAGTCTTTGATGGCCAGAACTTCAAACGCTGGCAAGAACGTGTCTTCATCGTCCTTGACATGCATGGTGTGGCTGCTGCTCTTGCTCAATCTGAGCCTCCTGCTGATACTGATCAATCCCAGCAAGTTGCATGGACTCATGCAAACAAAGTAGCCGACACACTATCATTAGCACTTTATCTAATGATTTGTTCGATGTCTACTGTGTCTACAAGGAAGCTTGTAAGATATGGGAGTCCCTAGTGACAAAGTACATTGCTCAGGATGCCGGCAAACAAAAGTTCGTTGTGGGCAACTACTACAAATGGGAGATGACCGAGAATAAGGATGTGAAGGAGCAAATCAACGAATATCATAAGCTGCTGGAGGAGCTTCGTGCTGAAAACATCAACCTTCAAGACGAGTTCGTTACTGGGATACTGATTGAGAAGCTGCCAGAATCATGGTCTGACTACAAACAGCAGCTGAAACACAAACAGAAGCAGCTATCCTTGACTGACTTGATCACTCACATCATCATCGAAGACACAAACCGTAAGGCAATACGTGCAGCATGTCATTTTTTAGTTTTAAAAAGTGATGTTTTAGACCAAAACACAATTGTAGAGACTAAAGATGCTGAATTTTTTAAACATATTTTTCCCTTGAAAATTAAGCATGTTTCTAAACCTGTTGAGAATTCAGAGTTTGAACAAAATTTAAATGAGGATTTGGTTTTAAGGAGAAGTAAAAGACAAAGGAAAGAAACAAGTTTTGGGGATGGTTTTTACACTTATTTAGTACAGGATGAACCGTTAAATTTTTATGAAGCTATTTCTTCTCCTGATGCCAAATTTTGAAAAGAAGCAATTGAAATTGAAATTGATTCTTTAAGGAAAAATAAAACTTGGGTTTTATCAAATTTGCCCCAAGGTGTTAAGGCTATTGGGTGTAAATGGATTTTAAAGAAAAAATATTTTCCAGACGGTTCAATTGATAAGTATAAAGCAAGGCTTGTGGCTAAAGGTTTTACTCAAAAAGAAAATATAGATTATTTTGACACATTTTCTCCTGTGACTAGAATCTCTTCTATAAGAGTTCTTATTGCTTTGGCTTCAATTTACAAACTTTTTGTTTACCAAATGGATGTTAAAACTGCTTTTTTAAATAGTGATTTAGAAGAAGAAATTTACATGGTACAGCCTGAGGGATGTGTGATTCCTGGGCAAGAAAATAAAGTTTGTAAACTTGTAAAGTCTTTGTATGGCTTAAAACAAGCGCTTAAGCAATGGCATGAGAAACTTGATCAAGTTTTGACAACTGGTGGATTTTCTACTGTTGAAGTAGAAAGATGTGTTTATACAAAGTTTGTGAATAATGAATGTGTGATTATATGCTTGTATGTGGATGATATGTTGATTTTTGGCTCTAGTATGTGTGTTGTTAATGAAATAAAAAATTTTCTTTCTTCAAATTTTGATATGAAAGATATAGGTGAAGCCAAGGTAATCTTGGGTGTAAAAATTATAAGGAATGAAAATGGAATCTTGCTTTCCCAAGAACATTATGTTGAGAAAATTCTCAGAAAGTTTGGACATCTTGAAGATGCTCCTCTAAGTACTCCTTATGATTCGAGTATGCAATTAAAAAAGCACAAGGGTGACCCAGTTGCTCATTCTGAGTATGCACAGATTATTGGGAGTCTGTTGCATTTGATGAACTTTACTAGGCCTGATATAGCTTATGCTGTAAGCAGATTGAGTAGATATACTCACTGTCCAGGCAGTAAACACTGGGAGGCTCTGGTGAGAGTCTTGAGATATTTGAGAGGTACCATGAATTATGGTATATTGTATAGTGGATTTCCTGCTGTATTGGAAGGATACAGTGATGCTAACTGGATTTCAGGTTCAGAAGAGACAAAATCCACTGGTGGTTATATATTTACTCTTAGTGGTGGTGCAATAACCTGGAAGTCTGCAAAACAGATAATCAACATAAAATCCTCAAGGGATTCTGAGTTCATTGCCATGGAGCTGGCTGGGACTGAGGCTGAGTGGTTGAAAAACTTCTTAGCAAGTATTCCAATAGGTGAAAAGCCCACACCATTAGTGTCTTTACATTGTGATAGCCAGTCTGCAATAGCAACGGCTAAAAATAAGACCTTCAATGGCAAAAGTAGACATATTCGATTGAGATATAATATTATAAGGCAGCTGCTCAAAGACGGGGTCTTAATCGATTATATGAGATCAGAGTTAAATCTGGCGGATCCGTTAACTAAATTCCTAGGGAAGAAATTTATTATTGAAACGTCGAGGGGAATGGGACTTAAGCCTGTTTGAAATTAACAGTGATGGCAACCCAACCTTTGTGATTGGAGATCCCATGATGAAGGTTCAATGGGTAAGAACAAGTCACTTGTTAGTTCTACTAGCACTGAATTTTGTCCCTTCCTATGGCTTGAGAAAGTGCTAGAATGCATTGAACGGAGGCTGAGCGATAGCTCTTAATATTTTCATAGTCCTTACGGATGGTGTATTCATTGCAGATATACTTGATGAAAATACCTATACAAATGTGGAGTGGGGCCGCTCCTATGAGATCGTGGTGAAATCTCTAGAGCATTTGTTAAAACCAAGCGTGCGCATGGCCGATAACATGCAAAACCATCGTTAATAGCAGAGACTGTGGGGGTATAATCCGATTAATAAGACCTCTAGCACAAGCTCAAGATCTGTTGGTTCAATAACGAAGTTACACCAACTTTTCTGTGTGCTAAGTTTTATTAGTCTAGGTTTGGTTCAAGTCAACAGACACCAAATTCAAAGTAATTATCCTCCGTGTGAATAACTCAGATGAACATAGATCCTTTTGACACATGTGGGGGATTGTTATATATGTGTCAAAAGTGTGTGTGTCAAAGTCCCACATTGACTAAAAGAAGGAATCTCCTAGTGTATATATACTAAGGAATGAAGTGGGCTAGTAAAATAGGCTTGGAGGAGAAGTGGCCTCGTGCACATGAGACAGGCCAACTCAGGGCAATCCCAGTTGAAATCAGCCGATTCGCCCTCCCTGCACGCCAGTTCAAGAGGCACTGGGTTCCTTTTACCGGGTTATTTTTACAAAAATGATTAAATAAATAATTATTTTTAACTTACCTGAACAACATCTAATTTTGTTGTTTTAAATTTAAACTTGAGGCTTTGGCAGTTTCTGGACATTAAACCTCTTCTGGAAACTGAATTTTGAAGGTTAATGTTTTGTCTGCCAAACGTCTCTAGATTAATGAACGCTGAACGTTTTCGAATTAATGGACATGCACGTTTTGCTGTTTGAGGTGTCTGTAACTGAAGCGTTAAACACTGAATGTTCGTTGTTTAATGTGTGTATAACCGAACCATTAATCGGTAATTATAACCCAACGTTTGTGTCTCCTTCCTCGGCCAATATATACCCATGGGTGAGGACAGAATAAAGTGCAAGCCTCCACAGTTTTCGGGGCAACTCTCTCCTCCCTCAGACTTCTGTTCGTGTGTGTTTGCTTTAGTCTCTGTTATTCTGTTCCCTTGCTCTATCGCAGGAAGTACTCGTTTAATCCTGGGGAGCTGCCGGCCTGTCGTCTAGATGTGCCGGAATAGTTCTTAAGGACAGTGTCCTTCCGGGCACGACTCAAGCAATCAGAAGCTCACTGTTCACGTCTGCCACCGGTGTCGCCTACAAGAGGAACATAAGCTTGGGATGAAGGGATGAGATCTAAACTGAGAAGAAACTAGAGAGCGACTACAGTACACAATTGATCATTCAATAGCACTGATTTCTTGTAATCTCTCACAAATCTTTTGCTAAGTAAAAATGAAACGAAATGCCAAAGAATCTATAATACCATACATATATCTAAGCATCAAACAGTAGCAATCTTACTTGTTGGGGAGGTTGTTGATGAATTTCCTCCTGCTCTTCAGTAATATCCAACTTGATCGTTCCTTGCGGCTCAATAGTGGGTCGCGTTCCTTGATCTTCTTCACCGAAGCAGCTGGCTGATACATGAGACTCGAATCTCTGTTAACTTTGACAGTTGACTAAAAAATTATAGAAAAAAATTCAAAAATAAAAAAAACAATTTAAATTGAAATGCTGGCAGTAGTGGAGGCGACTTTATGCAGATGGTGCAGGGTTGAAATGGAATAAGATAAGAGCACAGCTAGCCTGGCTTTTATAGAATCTAATATTATCTAGGGAGAACAAATTACTATTAGTGCTATAGATGTGATTTAATTAAAAAAATATATCACAAATTGTTGAGACTAAAATGAAAATAATATTGTAAGGCAAATCACTAAATTGTTCTTAATAAAAATAAAGAGAAAATGTAAATTAGTGATTACCATGACTTATTAAATGGTATGTAATAGGCTTTGTTAAATCCCTGACAATTCTCATCATGCTACTTTTTCAACATGATGAAATGTTTCTTTTTTTTACCAAGTAAGCTAATGGATTTTACAGCCAAGCTATAAGTTAATAATTTATAACAAGTTGTAATGGATTTAACTGACAAGCTAATTGAGTTTTTTCTCACTAAATCTTATTTTCAGATAGGTATTTGGAGAATGCAGTAAAATTTCATATTTTTAAAATATCTTATTAATATAAAAAATCTCAAGGAATTCTTAGAAGATATTTTCCCATATATAAACTTAGTGGCTTTTACAGATATAACACATGTCATAGCAGTTATCATATGATAATGTTTAAATAAAAAATGGATGATGCGATCAGATTAAAATATTCAATAGGTTTTGTGCATTCAAACTCATTTTTCTAAGGAAAAAAATAAACATTAGATGTTGAACAGTTTTGTACTAATCTTTTAAGGCTATATCTAAAAAATAAAATCATTAATGCAAAATTAAAATTTACAACAGTTGATACCCTTCATATAAATGGTATAATTGACCTTTTAAATATATAAATATGATATATTATAAGGATTTGAAATTTTGAATCATTTGTCTCTTATATATATATATATATATATATAAATTCATCTTACATTAAGAAATCAAAATAGTAAGCCTAAAATATGAAAAAGTTTCAATAAAAAAAGCTAATTAATGATATTTATGTTTTTTAAAAATAATTTTTTTAAAAAAATAAATTATAAATATCAATTTAAATCCCTACAAATTTAAAAGTTGGGTAAAATTTAAAAAGTTAAAATTAAATTTTTTATTTTTTTTATTTTTTCACACTTCGTTATTATTTTTTAGTTATCATATAAATAGAAGTTATCATAACAGTACATGTGACATTGTATGTACATTAATAATTACCTTAAAATTTTTTCATTAATATTTTTTTATTATTATTGCCTTGAATGTTACGTCAACTACCACGTGGCTAGTAATTAGAGGAGCTAATATTTATGCTATCCACGTGGCTTAGCAAGCCCACCATATTATTAAATTAATAAAAAAATTAATCATTTAATTCTTATAATTTTAATATGTCAATCAATTTCTGAACTTTAAATTATTATAAATCAATTTTTATAGTTTTAATTTAATTATAACTCAGTTTTTAAACTTTATCTTTTTACAATTCAGTCCCTATAATTTTAATTATTTAAATATTGATCCACATATTTTAAAAAATAAAATATAAGGATAAAAATATTTTAGACCTTTAATATTTATAGTATCTAAAGATTAAAAGATTAAAATTATAATATTTAAATTTTTAATATTTATAATATTTTGCACTTTTAATATTATAATATTAGTAATAAAATTATAAATATTAAAATTATGTTAAAATTTATTATTAATTCTTTAAATACCCTTTAAATCTTTATAAATATTATAAATATTAAGATTTAAAATATTTTTAATCTTTATAATTTTATTTTTTAAAATATAGAGATCAATATTTAAATGGTTGAAACTATAGGAATTAAATTACAAGAGAAAAAAATTTAAAAATTGAGTTATAACCGATTTAAAACTATAAATATTGAATTAGAATGAGTTAAAGTTTAAGAATTGAATTACACAATTGCATCAAAACTATAGAGACCAAATAATTATTTCTCCCTAAATTAATTGATATTGATTTTATGTGATCTTTTCTAATTTTATTTCTTTATTACTCATAGATATTATTTTATTAAAAATAATCTTATGCGAGATAGAGATTCGAATCATTGTTGCTGAAGCACGTTGTGAGTGATTCCATGGCTCTCTCGTCTCACCTGTTATCTGTGTATCCATTTCTCTGAAAAATCGAAGAGGAAAACCAAGATCCTGACATCTGGTGTCCTCCTGCTGAAAAGATTTTTGACAGGTTCAAAAATGTTGTCGGTTTTCTTGATTTTTTGCTTTTATCATGTGCCATGGCTCCTCATGTGAGTAGTCCTCATCTCTTTTATTTATTCACTTTCAATTCTTAAACGACTTTGCGTTCACTTGCCTGCCCTTGAATAATATTGTTTTATTTTCATTTTATTATTTTTTTATTATTAAAAAGCAATCATATTTAAAACATAATCAAACACTAAATATATATATATATATATATATTTCTTTTTCAGTAGAGATTTAAACCTTATTTTACCGTGTAAGAGACTAATTATATTATTATTATTTCATATCATTCTTTTTTTTTACCAGCATTATTTCATGTCATTCACTTTAAGTCGCTTTGGGATCTTAATATTTTTTTTTTTGCTAATTTATATTAATTCTTTCATGCATCCTAAGTAGGGCTGGTTAAAAACTGGAGGGCCGTAGTTGATTTCTGATGCTTTGATATCTTGCTTGGCTTCTCGTTTCATCCTCTGCTTAAAAATGCATTGGCTGTAACTTGCAATTAAGAAGCCTAGAAGATCCTGTATATTACTGGCTAAGTCTTCCAAATAGCTAATAATTTTGTATGATATGGAGGACCATCCGGTGCATTTAATCTAAACTTTAATGCTTAATTAGGCCAATAATTATACTAATTGTAGTTTTTAAGGCCATTAATTATCCTTGTTGTAGTACTTAATCTAGAATCACTTTTCTATGAAAGTCCCTTTACATTCCCTCCTTTTCTGTGGTTCCATCCAAACATCGCGTCCATTTACGACTTTTCTTCGTTCACCAAATTCTTTTATTAGCTGTCATTTGTGTCCATGTTGAGAGTGACAGCAATAAGGCCAAAATAATAATAATAATAATAATAATAATAATAATAATAACCAATGAATGAATGATAAAATAATAATAATAAAATATCTTTAAATTATATAAATAATAATTTAATTCTTAATATTATAATTTTATTAAAAAATTTTAAATTTTTTGTTAATAAATTTTAAATTAAAAAAATTATTTTATTTTTATTGACAAGTTATAATTTTTTGTTAATTTTTGCAATTCTTTAAATAAAAATTATTATTTTTTAAAAAAAATTGTAATTAAAACTTGTTATTTTAAGAATTTATTTTCAATAATAGAATTTACATTTGATATGTTATGATTTTTTGTTCAACTTCTGTGATTGACAAAACAAAAGTTATTATTTGTTAAGCAAAAGTTGTAATCGGGGCTTATTATTTTGAAACATAAATTACACTTGATAAGTTATGTTGTGATTTTTTATTTAATTCTTATAATTCACAAAACAAAATTTATTATTTTTTAAGTAAAAGTTGTAATTGAGACTTATTATTTTTAATAAAGATAAAATAATTTTTTCATTTTAAAATTTATAAATACATAATTTTTTAAATATTTTAATAAAATTATAATAATTTAAGAGAATAAATTATTATTTATATAATTTGAGAAAATTTTATTGTTATTTTCTCGTGAAAAAAAGTGGAAGAAGTAAAAAAAAAAAAAAAAATGAGACTGAGTCAGAACCAACGGTAATGGCATGTCTCATGGCCAGAAATAAGGAACGGAGGACCTGTCTTGCTTTTTGGCCCGTAATTTTTTTATTTACCAAAATAAAAAAAATTAAAACTCATTAACTTAATTTTAAAATTTAACAAAATTTTATTTTTATTTTTATTAAATATATGTACTTTAATAATATACTTTTTTTACTGGAATTTAATATAATAAAATATTAATAATGCTACTTATAAATATAAGTAAAAAAATTTCTCACTCTCCCCCTACCTTATGTTGGATTATCATTTTGCAAATTTAAGGCGGCTGATTTTTTATTACGTTCCCACCATGGAGTGGATCGGGACGTCTCCTTGTCCAAATCTCAATTATCCTTTTTTTTTTTTATTATTTGATCCAATAGTTGATACTCATATTAATTCAAATGACGTCCCTTTGAACTGGCAATCAGAGTCGTGTTTAATTCATTTTCACAATAAATCCTAACCGTTCAGTATTTTTTTAAAAAAAATTAATGTCATTTTCTTTCCAATCAAACGCTATGAGTGCTGTGTTAATCCCTAATCCTCTTCAGGAGGTTGGGAGGAAGGGCTAAAGGACAAAAGTATTCATCAATTTTTTTAGAAGTACTTAGTATCCATAAATAAATAAAGGTATAAGAATATTCATGAGTATATTATAATAAGTGCAATAATACTCATTCTAATAAATTTCACTAACGTTGACCATTAAAAAAAACAGTAAATATAAAGTACAAAAATACTTAAAAAAATTTTCTTTAAGAGCTTACAATATTATAGAATCAACAATAATAGTGTATGAGTATCCATTAAATTCATAAAAGAGGCCATATGACTATGCTCGAACCCTAACAACTTAAGTTTTTCAGGCTATCTTGAATATCTAAATTATTAAATATTAATTTATTTTATTTTATTTTTTCAACCAATTCCAATTTTTATCTTAAAACTTGAGATTTTAAATTTTTATCTAATTTTAAATTTATTTTATTAATAATAAAAAATTTGAGTATTTGAGCTAAGTTTTATTCAAGGTTTGGATTTGGCTTGAATTTCTTTGGGCTTGTTCTGATAAATTGAACGACCTTGAAATTTAAAAAAAAAAATCTAAAGTCTCAAGCTT